AGCATCCCCAAACTCTCCGCCTCCCATTGCTGCCCCGCCCAGCCCCAGCTCTCAGTTGCTTAAAAAAATGCCCCTACTCACTGGATGCTGCCCAGCAGGGGGATGATCCCCACTACCCCCAGTGCTCCACACTGTGTGGGGGTTCTGTCATGAGTCCTCTGACCCCCACCACTCCCCCAGCCCCAGGCTCACCAGCTGCTGCAGTGGCCTCAGGACTTCTGGAGGCTCGTGCAGAGCCCCTCACACAGTGCGGGGCAGTGGAGATCACGCCCTCCACCACTGGGCAGGAGCCAGTGAGTGGGGGCTTTTTTTTCAAAGAGCCAGGAGCTGGGGTCGGGAGGGGCTGGGAGAGTGGGCAGGGGATGGGGGCTACGTGATTCAGAGATTTGGCTTATTTGGCAGCAGCTGAATCTCTGAATCGGATTAGGCCGACTCAACTTGGGACAGTGATTCGAATCACCAGATCTAATCACTGTTCCCTGAATCAGCTGAATCCGAATCCAAAGCAAATACTAGTCACTTCTCACAGACCTATTAACTAGTGGCATGCCAGCCAACAAGGTTGGCCACCACTGCTCTAAATGATCAAAAACTGGACAATTGCCTCTTTGACTTGTGCTGTTTTCAGTGTAAAAACTCATTCTAATAAAATACATGACTGCATTCCAAGCATGGCATATGTCAAACTGGGGAAAAGAAACCTTGGCATGATCAGTTCATGTTCCTGCTGGAGTTTAAAAATAAAGTATTCATAAAATGAAATTAAAACAATCAACTTGTTTGGCGGGCTTTAAACTAGGCTCATCGGGGGAAGGGAAAGCCGAGGGAGGAGGAAGCCTTGGACTGCTAAACCAAGCAGCACCCACAAGTACAACCCATCCTAGACCAACGAGCAGAACATATACACAGGTAAGCAACAGGGGCCAGGGCAATGCTGTGATTAGGGGGCCAGTGCACACATCCACAGGAGGCCTCAAATGCCTCTACACAAACGCTCGTAGTATGGGAAACAAGCAGGAGGAACTCACCCTCCTGCTAGCTGACACCAGCCTAGACATAGTGGGGCTCACTGAAACGTGGTGGGACCCAAGGCACGACTGGGCAGTGAATATCAAGAGCTATAAGCTGTACAGGAAAGACAGGACAGGGAGGAAAGGCAGGGGTGTGGCGCTCTACA